TTTAGTTAGACCACAGGGATCTGCTGGCTTTATAAAAGTGCATAAAATGTAGAAATAGTCCCCAAACAGGCCTGTTGTTGTGTCCAGTCCACTCATTTAGGCAGCCATGTTTGTTCTCATTGACTCATGCTCCGCCGTCCAGGAGTTCCTGTAAGCCTCTGGTTATGCCTGTCAGCTCTGTCCAAAGTCAGCAAAGCCCTTGGTTGCTGTGAAGGCGTCGGGCTGCAGGGGGAAGAAGTACTGCTGGGGAAGCAGGAAGCTGGTGCTCTGAGCGGGATGAGAGGGCTGGTGGAGCTGCAGCTGTGGGTGCTGGAGAGCTCCTGTTATGGGCGGTGATGTGTAGGGCGGAGGCGGTGGAGGAGGTAGTAGAGTCTGTGGGGTCTGAGTGGGAGTGGAGGCTGAGGAGGAGACGGTGGCCGTCACAAGGCAGCCGTGCTGCTGCTGCTGGGCCGAACCCCCCAGAGAAAACCTCCGCGTGGAGCTGCCCCCGCCCGCCGAGCTGGAGCTGGTGGTGGCCGTGCTGGACTGCCGAGACGGGGCGCGCAGGCTGGGCGGGGCCGTGGTCAGGATCATGGGGATGGTCTCTCCCTGGCAGCTGCGCAGAGAGAAGCGGATGGGCTGCTGAGTGGGCTGCTTGGGCCGCAGGCAGGTGCAACAGTAGACCGCCACCAGGGAGCCAACGATGACGAAGGCGATGAAGATGCTTCCCACCATGAGGAAGGGAACATAGATGGGCTCTGAGGGAGAGGAGAGGAAGAGAAGATGCAAATACGATCTACAGCCATGATAGTAAAGCTTCATATCTGGAAAATATTATATACACTGCTCAAAAAAATAAAGGGAACACTCAAATAACATGTCCTAGATCTGAATGAATGAAATATTCTCATTGAATACTTTGTTCTGTACAAAGTTGAATGTGCTGACAACAAAATCACACAAAAATCATCAATGGAAATCAAATTTATTAACCAATGGAGGCCTGGATTTGGAGCCACACACAAAATTAAAGTGAAATGTTCCCTTTATTTTTTTGAGCAGTATATATATAAGAAAGATTCTTCTGTCACTTGAAACTTTGTGAAAATTAGAGGTGCACTGATTGCAGTTTTCTGGGTGAACGCCAATTCAGATTTTGACCGATACCTATTTATTTTTTAGCTGAAATCTTTCTAAATATACAAAGAAAGTCGCTGAGTGGTAACAGTGTGGTGACTATTGTTGACTCCAAATGTGCAGACCTGACCAGCTGAGCGGGTCTGCCAGTCAAACCTCTCACAGCAGAGCAAAATAGGACCATGGATCGATGATTTTTAGACCTTTGTCCAGGTAGATAAGATCGGTGCATATGTATCGGCCGATCACCGATCTCCAAAAATTAAAGAAGTCGGAGTCGATAAGTAAAGTCCAGTACAATCAAAATACGGTACTTTTTAGGACCTCTGATTGTTGTGCTGCATGTTGTATTTTTTATGTTTTTTGCATATGTCTCCACCAGCTCCAAACAGTGAAAAATTTAAATTTCTACACATTGTTTTTTGCAAAGTAGCTTTAACCTCTCTGAATAGATCAGCAACGTCTGAGATTCTCAATTATCTGATTCATTTTAACACCTAAAAACGGATTTGAGTCAAAACGTTCAGTTAAATCTCCAGCTCTGTAGCTTTGGGTTTGTTTTCCTGCTGGGAAGTGAAAAATGCCTTTTTGCTGCCTCTAACGGGTCCTCCAGATTTTACCCTTTATTTAGCTCCTTTAAATTCTGATTATCTTTCCCAACTCTGCAGCATGGTGCTGCCATTGACATGTTTCATTGTGGGATGGCTATTATATCATTCATCCCCTTATCTAACGACACCCTGGGCAAATGCCCATATCAAAAAAAAAAAAAAAAAAAACTCACGCCGTTGGATTTCACCCATAGATTTGAGACTAAAGAAGACTGAATATGAACACCAGTTTTACTTTTCATATTTCCATGTTAAAAATTCTTAAAACTGTGTTATGTGTTGCATCTATTTCAAATAATATGCTACTGTAAGGTTTATTGCATTAGATCCGGGAAACATACATTAAGATTTGTGGCTTTGACATGATGTACAAAGAATATGAATGCTTTCCCAAGGATGCACAAAAAAAAAAACCTTTATCCACACAAATGTATCATTATCAAACACTTTAAATCGTGTTTTTCTTTTGAAACCCATGAAATGTTCTGACCAAAACAGGGACACATTCCTGTTTAACACACAAACATCTCAAGTTGCTCTTTGTGAAGCCTGGTTGCGCTCAGGAAGGAAATCTGTGAGCATTTATTTATTTTATGAGACACAGTGAAATCAGTTCAAGACTTACCCCCGTTTCCCTTCTGGAAATTGAAAGAAAACTGATAAAACCTCTAAATTTAGGCAGCAGAAGATTAAAACTTACACAGCTTACTTTGCATGGTTTGTACAAGCTGTAAAAACGCATTTCCGCGCAATAATGATGTGATTAGCTCAGTTTAAAAACAAGTTATGTTTGGCAGCAGAACGTTGCCAACTTGTGCAGAAACCGGTTTTGATTCTGGAAAACCTTCAACCTCCACTTCCTTAGGTTTCATCTCTATTTCTTTGGAAAAATATATTAAAACTGTGTGTTTTATGAACATCAGGCGAGAGGCAGAGATATGCTGCATTATAATTTATCCAGTTTTTCCACAAATAATCTGAAGTGTGCTGAGGTAAAAGGAAGCATCTGGAGCTAAGATGAAAGCAGGTGGTTTGGAAACTAGACTCTTTTGCCAAAATAATGCTGAGAATACAACTTTGAAACAGCATGAATTTATTGAATCTGAGCAGCTCTCTAAAAGTTCAAAGCTGACGAGAAAATACTTCCAAGGAACAAGAAAAGGAGCCTGAAAACTTGGGCTGAGATTCTGCAGCTACATTTTTCTATTTTATTTTGCAATATTTCTATTTTGGTCATGATTTAAAAAGATTGCACTGCAGTCTTTTTTCTTGGAGACTTCCCCCGCCTCCCCTCCTCTTAAAGACATGAAGACCAAGTCTCTGAAACTTAACCTGTTCTTCCTCATCCAGACTCTCCAGCTGACCTCTGACCTCAACTGAAAGATCTGCCACAACTAATTGTGAACAGCACAAGCATCTAAGCAAATTTTGTAATTTTTATAAACTAGTTACATATTAGTGGTATATAGCTATTGCTGCTGTACAAAATACTTCTTTAAAATAATATTAATAAAACAAAATTTAAAAAAGAACTATAAGTGAGCTAAAACTCTCTGCTTACTTCCATTTATTTGCTTTGAGTTCTGAACAATAAAAACTCCCTAAACTTACGCGGGGTAAACTCCGTGTTGTCCACCTCCCTGTCGTTGGTGCAGACCCCCTGATCCAGGCGTGCGTCCGCGGCCGCGCAGCAGTAGCGCAGCGCGCAGGAGCCGCAGCACACTGTCGCGTCCGTGGTGTCAAAGTCTTCCGGACACTGAAAGCCCTCATGGTAGTTCCCGTTAGAGTCCAGCCAGCCGTGGCAGTACTCCCCCTGAGCGTCCGATATGCGCAGGTTCCAGGTCAGATATCCCAGCAGCAGGCAGTTCCAGAGGCGCACCATCCCGCCCGGCCGCTCCGGGTTCACGGTTCCCCTTCCTCCCGCCGCCTCGCCTCTTGTTCGGCCTCAGCTGCCTGGACGCGGGGTCCGAGCTGGGATGAATGTCCCAACGCGAAACTGGACCCAATGCATGTAAAGTTATGCCATCTTTGCCGCATCCGAAGCGCGGTGGGACATCAGCGGCGTTTGAAGTGAACAGGATCCAAATGATGGGTTTAAGTGACTTTTAAAAGTCTCATCTCCGTGGCGAGTTCTGGTCCAGACGGAGACCGCAAAACCCAGCAGAACCAAATTGCTCCGGTTTCTTCTCCGCTTTTGGTGTAGCGGGATGAGAAGGGGCTGCGTGTGTGTTAGCCTCTCTGCAGATCTGCCGCTTTTGTGAATCGGTGCTTTTGGGTGCGCGCACGGCACCCCACTTCATCCGGACGTGCGCGTTCACGTTGTTCAACAACAAATAGTGATGCCTAAAGATTGACACTAAAGCTCTTATCTTAACTTGTTATAACTAAGAGACGGGCTTCACTTCAGCAACTACAAGTAGGAAAAGCAAAAGCTGACTACAATTTCTGACCATGATTGCGTGGATTTGTTAAATATTAGAGGATAAGCATCAGTCCATTGTGTTTAAACCTGAATTATGCCTTTATTTTACTTTCTAATTTGGGAAGTTATGTTTTTGTGGCAGTTTTTGACTGATCATCCTTTTTTTTTCTTTGTGTAGGACATTATTTTTTGGTCATATTTGAGTTGTTTTTTTTCTGTAAACTGATAGTTTTTATATGTATATTTACCCATTTTTGAATTGTGAATCCCCTTTCTTTCCAGATTTTGTGGGACTTTAAATGTTGTTACTGTAGCTACAGTATATAAGTCTTCATGCTCCTTAAATGTTTTATTGTTTTTTGTTCAACTACAACCTTCAGTGTATTTTATTGGCCAGTTTTTATGTATTTTTCAGCCTTCAGGTGGTTTTCTTGCAGGATGGCTCAATCCATCTTCCTATTAACTCTGTTCACTTTCTTTACCCCCTCTAAAAAAGAGCTTTCCTGCAGCATGATGCTGCCATCACCATGTTTCGCCTCGGGGATGGATGGTTTGTTCAGGGTGATGTGCTGGAAGGAAGTGTAAGACTTTTTGCAAAAGTCTTGGTTGATCTGTCATATTAAACCGCAATAAAATACACCGACATTTGTGGCTCTAATGTTATGAAATGTGAAAATCTCGAGGTATGAATACATTTGCAAGGCACAATGTCTGACAGGCAGTGATTTTGTTGTCTCTGTGATTATTGATGCTATTCACTTGAGGTCACGCTTTGTCTGGAGATTTTCTTTTGTTTTGCCACTTTTCAATATTTATTGGTAGTTTTAAATTAATTTTATTGTAGAATTTCTGAGATTCATTTTGCTTTTGAAATGTACATCTTGTTGGTTCCTTCACACTTACAAAAATGCTATTTACATTTAATTTATATGAAAATTTAGATTTGCTACTTAATTGTGTCTGAATTTTAATTTAACCAATAACCTATATATGCTGTAAAAATGCTAAAAGGCGTAAAACTGATCTGTTTGGTCTTATTGAACGGAAAAAAACTGTGGTTCGAACCTCTTGTTTGAAACCTATTGAGGCGGCGCCCCCTCGTGGCCACACAAACTTTTAAGCCAGGAGTGTTTAGGGCAGCTGTTGGCTGTCTCTCTAACAGCAGATGTCAAACATAAACTTACAACAGACTAAAGATGTAAACACTTGTGTTTCAGGCGCTCGTCTGTAAGCTGTTACTTAAGATGAAATAAGTCAGACCATGAAGCTGCAGTATATTTTTAAGATTGTTTTATGTGTTAATTAGACACTTTTTCCCTTATTCTGTTTTTTTATTATCTTTTTTATTTCAATTGTAGCAACAACTTTTTTTTTTAATATTTGAATTTATGTCGATTCTTTTTGTTCTAAACCAAAATGGCCTCTACTTCCTTTTTTTTTTTTTTTTGTTTCGTAGGATTTTTATTTATTTATTTATTCAGTATAATTTCACGTCGCAGCTACAGCTGCTACAGCGCCCCGCTGTTCTCGGTGGGGATGTTTTCTACACAGAAGTCCCGCCTGTATTTCCCTCTGGAGGAGTCTCAGCTTGCGCTCCCGACTGGGGATTGGAGCGGCCACTTGTCAGTAAGCCAGCTTCACGTAGTGCATGTGTGTGTGTGTGTGTGTGTGTGTGTGTGTGTGTGGAGGGAAACCGAGCCAGACAGTGACGGTCGGATCGCTCACTCATCAGCTGTCTGTCAGGCCAGGACGCCACAAAGAGCAGCTTGACACCCGGCCGGTATGGAGGGAGAGATGCAGCCCGCGGATGAAGGGCCCTGCGCCACGAAGATGTGCCGACAGCAGCGGGGTCCGTACAGCACCCTGAAGCCCTTCCAGAGCAAGCGCTCCGCGGGGAAGTCGCGCTTTGACCGGTCCGCTGCTTTGGAGCTGCCTGTGTTTGGCGACGGGCATCCCTTCACTTTCCATCCCGAACAGCCTCATCCTTTCCAGCAGCAACAGCAGCAGCAGCAGCAGCAGCGGCTGCAGCACCTCCACCAAAACAGCGTCGCTATCAGCAGCAGCCAGCAGCATCACCCGCTGCCTCAGCAACAGCAGCACCACCGTCTCCCATGTGAGGCCAGGCCCAGCAGCAGGGTCCCGACATCCACCTCAGCGGCCACGGCATCCCTCGGCTCCCAGCGGCGCTCCGGCAGCGGTTCGGAGCCCCGGTTCTCCCCGGACTGCACCTACGGAATCAGCACAGGTGGGTGTGAAACTTGTCCTGAGTGAGGTCTGTTAGTTCCGCTCCTTCTCACATGGTGTCTTTCAATTAAATAATAATACTTCACCAGTCTTTGTGTTTTCCGTAAACTAAATATTCTTATGGGAGCGTGAAATATTCCCTTTATATCAACCATATTCAAGTGTTTATGCCTTATGCTCTGCCAAAAGGCGCCTCCAGAAGGTGGTAATTTTGGGGTGCCACTTAAAAACCAGAAGCCAGTGGAGGTTTTTGTTATGACGACATGGCTTTCAGCCCAGGGCGATATGAAAAGGGGACACCACGAGGAAAACAAACATCTGTCAGTTTTCCTGTTGTTTTCTTATTGCTTATTTATGTCCATTTGATGGGAGTGGACTCCTCCATGTGGTGCACACAGTGTTGGCAATTATGATTTGGCATTTAACTAAATGGCCTTTTTATAAGAAATTAGGACTACATTTAAAGTTGAATAGTTGCTCTCTCAACAGATGTTGTTTAAAATTAAATGTAAGGCTTATAAATCTGAATGTGAACACGAGGAAGAGCCTTTTAGTGTACTTTTAGATTTTGAACCACTTTGAAACACAGTTTAAGTAGACTGGTAGACTGCCATAGACTGAGTTATTTAGCAGTGATTACATATGCTTTACAACTAAAATTGTGTTTTTCAACACCACACGTGAAAAACATTGGGTTCTCAGTTTTCTCAAAGCTATCATTTAAATCTGTCCAATCAATTTCTCTTGATATGCATGTATTTCAGTTAGCATGAAATTTATATTTTTTAATTAGCTCTTAATGTTTCTATTAAGTAATCTAATAATAAGCTTTTTGGTCAAATGGTCTTCATTAGGGACGTGTGTTTGGATGTGTGAAAGAGCATCTCGCACCAATCAAGAGCTGTGGCTGCCAGAAGCAAGTTGTCATGTGGGAACCCAAGGTGTAGATCACACCAAAGAAAAAGATTTCTTTCTTAAACAATCTGATGATCTTTTAGTTTGTGCACTGAAATACCTATTAGAGCCATAGTTGTTAAAACATTTGTTTTTTTTTTTTTTTTTTTTTTTTTTGCCAACTAATAAAATTGGTCTATAGTTCTAAAATTCTGTAACTATCCAAATTCATTCACCTAAACAATAAGATCCTGATACTTTCTTCAATCCAGGACCATGACGAAGTGACATAAATTCACAAAGTGGTTTTAATAAAGACATAAAATTAAGGTACATGAAAACCCATAAGTCAGTAAATGTTGAAATTCATAAAATTTGTCTTTGCATCTCCTAAATTTATCCATAAAATATTATAAGGGGTGGTTTTATGCAAAATATATTTTTTATAGGTTTATATCATGTTATAATTTAATTCCCTTATCATACCTGGAGTGTCGCCTTGATTCTTTAAATCTCTTGTGGTAGCCATTTCCTGTTTACTCAAAGCTCCTCCTCGGAGCTACAGTCTGCTCTGTGAGCCTCAACCTCACAGAGCACCTCTTCCCCACTCCTCCACAATTCTGCTCCTCCAGACTAGCGGCAGCAGTGAATAAACACCTGGTAGGACTGAGCATCTGGTGAGCTTGTCAGACAAACTACTTGTCACTGCAACATTCCTAAGAATGATTTTAAACGGTGAAATAAAGGAACATTGTTGTGACGACGTGCTCAAAGCTCAGTGTCGGAAAAGGCAGGAGCCTCTTAAAGAGACAGAGGCCAATTTTTTCAGATGTTAAAATACGAAGTCAAATTTCTTTTCAAATCTGTTTGATGTATGCAGCAATTTTTATAACAACAGAAGGTAACATTTTATTTACTTGATTAATTATTTACTTGATTATGCCATAAAATGTCATTATATGACTACAAAATAAATAAAACCGGTCCTTTAAGCACATAAGCCAGTCTGAACCTAGCATGTCTTTAGACTCTGGTAGGATGTTCATTAATATCACATTTGGATGCATGTAGGAGAACAAACAGAAAGACCCCAGGCTGGGATTTGAACCCTGGACCTGCTTGCAACTAACAGTCCCACAGTGCAGCCTTGAGGGGTTGATTCATTGTGTATGTTTTGTATTTGCTTCCTAGATGTACACTCCTAAACTGTAAGCAGAGTCAATAAGCTGACAGAAAAAGCCAGCATCTCCTAATCCTCATATTTTCCATTTCTTCTTTTGTTCCTCCTGTCAGCAATGATTGATTTACTTGAGTAATGGGAGCAATCGTGATCGAATCTCCTCTTCATGTGCACAAAATTACACTCTTTGCATCTCTCCCTTTTTCTCTGTGCACCATTACGGGTCCTCCCCGTCATCCTGTTGAAACACATTGTTCCCTGCTCATGTTTTCTTTTTTTTTTGTTTCCCCCTCAGCTGCTGTTCATTAGCAGGCTGCATACAGGCAAGAAATGTGTTCCCCATGTGGAGGGCTGGTCCGTGGGAGCCAACATTTAGATGAAAGCGATGAACCTTATCCTGGCAGTTTCAAAATTAAATATTAGACACAGCATCCTTTAATCAGATTTTAATCTGGTTATCTCTGCAGGCAGCAGAGGCTCTTCGTGCTGTTGCGTTTTTTTTTTTGTTGTTTTTTTTTTGCAGCTTCACAGTCAAGTTTTCAGACAGACTCTGGGCGACGCAAACGGCTGCATATTAAATCGTTTTATTGCAAATGTGTGATAGCATGTCGAAAGATCAGTTTAACCCGGTTTTATTGTTTGCATATGTTTCGACAAGCACTTTTCATGCCAAATTGAATCTGCACACGCCATGCAGGATGCGCCAATCCTCAGGTGATAATGGTACATCAAAGTGGTTTTATCTGCACAAATGAGACAGGTTATTGTCTTTCTCCTACCTGTAGGGGAGAAACTGGGTGTCCCTTTTTCTGTGAAGCGCAGCAGCAGAGGCCCTGGAACCTGCAATCAGTTCAACACACAATAACCCAAATTGCATTGAAAAGCCTTTCCCAAAGAGTCGTGATTAAAACAAATGGGCCTCATAAATTTGCTTCTGCCGACCGTGTTGTTTTTAATGAAATTTTATGAGGCTCTCAGCTCTCAGTGCCACAGACCGGGAGAGGAGGGGGAGGTGGGAGCAGGGGTGAGGGTGAATGATATCAGACACATCTCCACGGGTAAACAGAGACAGCACGCATATTAATAAATGCGACACATCTGCGCCAGGCTGATAGACACGTCCGAGCGAGTGGCACCGCCGCCGCAGCGGCCGCCCAGAACTCATGGCGTCTGTTTGTGTGTTTTGTTTGCAGCTACAGTAGACTCATAATCATTACGTGGAGGTGTGTGGGATCGCTTTACCGAGACGTGTCCAGACTACCGGGGGAAATATGCGCGCTGAGGCCTGAATCTGGACTATAACTATGTGCTGATTGTCTTGGTCACAGCAGATACGGCGACCTTAGAGTTTATTGACATCTGAATAAATCACCATAATAAAGCTGACATTTCTATGAACAAAGCGGCTCGCACAAGGCTTTTTGTGGAGCACCTTAGCTCAAAAAAGAGAAGTGAAAGTAGATAGCATCTTATTTTGTATGTGAGCAGGTCGTTTCTTTCTGTTGCCTTTATTTGAAGCTCAAATAATTGTCAGCTTGAGTAAGTGTTAAGTATTCAGATGAGTACTCACAGCTTAAGAATATCAGCACAATGAATTATTAAAAAAAAAAAAATAAAGTCTTAGAATTCATCTAAATTTGTAATACCAGCTGCTCTGCAAAAGTATTCACACTCAAGGTTATGTTACAGCCTCAAACGTCCAATTACTTGATTGGAGTTTTATGTCATAAATCAACACGAAACAGTGCATGTAGTTAACCTGTTTGTCGCGAGAGGACCCAAATTTGGGTCCTCT